CACAAGATCAGCCCCAGGAGGCAAATAGCGTTCTCCACGATTCCGGGCTAGCTCCCGCTGTGCCGCGCGAGTCCGAGCCACTCGATATGTACGGTTACCCTGCTTGCTTTGGCAGGCCTCCTGGGACTAGTGCAAGAGGATGTGTCGACGGAATTGATCAAGGGCGGATTCCCGTTCCCATGAAGGAGTAGTCAGGCCTACCCAATGCGTCTGGTACAGGACAGCGAGAAGTCGCTACGGCCTCGCACCAGTTGATGTCCCGAGATGTAGTCGACCTCGAGGCGCCCGACAGGCACCGACACATCATCCGCGGTGACGTGGAGAGGTGGGCATTTATCTCCGAAAGAGTGCAGAACATAACGCGACAGCTCGGCGGGCAGAGATTACGGCAAGTCGTCCGTCTCGTACGGATTGCGACAGGACTTGCAACGAAGGACAGACCCGCGACAACGAGCTGCCGGGCCGGAAAGATCGGAAGGCAGGTCCAGGTAGAGGAGTTTACGCGCCAACGGGCGGCCGTCCGGAGTGGCGTCGGCAGAGGTGGGACCCACCGCAAGAACTTTGTAGGGCCCCGTCCAGGAAAGTGCGAGCTTGGCCTTGAGCACCTGTTGTTCCGTGTCCTTCTGCCCACCCTGTCGAATCGTAGCAGCCGTGTTGTACACCCAAGCCCACCCGCCAACGGTAAACTGAGGGAGCTTGTGAATGGCGTCCAGCAGGGATGAATTTCGGCGTTCGACTCGCGAAATCTTCAGCGCGTTGTACTCACGGACAAGTTCGTAGGCCCGGCGCTGGCGATCGACAGCCAGGTTGCAATACTCGAGTTGATCGCGGGCCAAGCTTTGATGACCACCTACCGTGGGACGATCGAAGACCGAAAGCGGGAGTCGCGGGATGCGTCCGATGTGGATCTCGTTTGGCGCTAATCCAGTAGACTGGTTCACGGAATTGTTGTAGGCAAACTCAACGTGCGGGAGATGTATGTCCCAATCGTTTTGCTGTTCGTTGACGACCACCGCAAGCATCTGGGCCATCGTGTGGTTGACGCGTTCCGTGCCGCCGTTGGTCTGTGGGTGGTAGGAGCTGGTGGTGACCTTCTTGATCTTCGTCACCTCGTAGATCGCCATAGAGAGCTTCGAGCAGAAATGCAGTCCGTTGTCCAACAATAACGTAGTAGGACATCCCCACTTGGTCATGTATTGGTTGACGAAGATGTGAGCCGTCCCTCTCGCCGTAAATTCCGCCGCTGTAACTGCGAACATGTCGGCTCTCCGACTGAAACGGTCTGTGAAAAACAAAATGTAGGAGTTGCCCTTGGCAGTCACTGGCAGAGGTCCGAAGAAGTCGACGCCGACGACCGTACCAGGCCCCTGCGGCAATGGCATAGCGATGACGGGCCACCGAGCAGTCTGACGTGAAGTCTTGCGAGCTTGACACACCAAACACGCCCGAAGCCACCAGCGCACGGAACGATCCAAACCAATCCACCAGTAGAAGCGCTCGAGCAGACGCTGTGTACGATGGACGCCGAGATGGAATGACGCGGCGGTATGGCATGCATGAAGGACCCACGGACGCATCAGCATTGGCACGTAGACACGGGGCACGCCAGTATCCGGCAGATGAGTGGTCCTGCCGCCAGAGCGCCCAACCGGCGACGTCGCCGACTTATGTACGAGGAGGGTGATGTTGTCATCGGTCGTGTGCCGTCTGGTTTTCGTCGCCAACACAAGCACATCATCTAACGGAGGGGAGCGAAGAGGAGCACAGAGAGTGAGCAAGCCCGGAGGGGGTGGGGAGGGAGAACCGCGAGACAAAAAACGCATAGCCACCACACACTCGCTCTCCCGCTGCTGTTCCCTAGCCCAGTCCACAGTGCTGAAACTCTGAACACAAGCCCGCAAGTGGGAGGTGTCCAAATCAGAAGATTCCGAAAAAAAATCAGGCGATCCAACGGAAGAGGCGGAAGAAGGCGAAGCCTCAGCGACTGGGGCAGCCACAGTCCGTGGTGATGTCCGCGAAGGGGACATCGTGAGTAACGAAGTCCCGGGCGAAACCTGTAGAGAAGGCGAAATCGGGGATGCAGGGCGCGCCGCTGACGGCGAAGGGGCCGGTGGCGCAAGAGCAGTCGACGAAAACTCCGATGCCGGCGTTGCGGATGGCGGCAGCAGACGCGAGGCGGTCTGGGTGGTCTTGTTTGTCGAGCGGGACCTGCTATAGCGACGGGCAGGCGACGATGTCCGAGGGACGATGGTAGCCCGCGGCTGGGGTCCAAAATAAGCGGGACCGGTGACGGTGCCTCCGGAAACAGCGGTAGTTTTGGCCCGAGTCCGTGAAGAAATGAGCGGTCCCTGNTCGAGCGGGGCCTGCTAGAGCGACGGGCAGGCGACGATGTCCGAGGGACGATGGTAGCCCACGGCTGGCGTCCGAATTAAGCGGAATCGGTGACGGTGCCTCCGGAAACTGCGGTAGTTTTGGCCCGAGTCCGTGAAGAAATGAGCTGTCCCTGCTCCGGAAGCGAAGAAAAATCGTGCACATATCTAGTCGCCAAAGACGCGGCAGGAGACATCACGCGGGACGCATCCGAAGTCAATGAGGAAGCAGGCCCTGAAGATGCGAGAACAGGCGAGACAATGAAGACCCCCGGGGACCGCCGAGAATTCTCGCAGGCAATCATTGAGTCCGTCAGAGCATCCAACCGACGCGGGTGATGTCGGCGAAAATCCCCAAAATCGGAGGGCTGCAACGCTGGGAGCGAAAAGACTCCTGCCGTGCAAGGAGGGCGGAGCCCACCCAAACCGACCTCCAGTGTAGACGACGAGTGATAGTTGCGCCCGCAAGCCCAAATGAGGAAGACACCCGCTTGATCGACACCATCAATGCAGTCGGGACCGGTTTTGTCCGTGTCATGTGCTGGTGAAGGCAACCGCGAAAGAATATCCGCGTTGCCGTTTGCCGAACCTTTCCGATATTTCAGGGTGTAGGTGAAGTTGAACAGGAATTCGAGCCATCGTTGCACCCTAGCGTTGTGTTCCCCAACCTTGCCAATGCTTTCCAAGGCTTTGTGGTCCGAATGGATGATGAACTTGGTCGACCACAGATAGCCGCGAAGGCGTTTGATGGCCCAAACAATGCCACCAGCCTCCAGATCCAAAACGGTCCGTTTACGCTCCGCAGGAAGAGTAGCGCGGCTGATGTACACGATGGGTCTCACCGAGCCATCGAGCTGTTCTTGTTCCAAGGAGGCGCCAAAACCGTCGATACATGCGTCGGAACACAAACGAAGAGGACGGCTGTTGTCCTCGATTGCTGCAAATTCCGGGAAGACCAAAATCGGGGGGCGAGCGATTTCGCTTAACAACGTTTTGACAACCTTGACCATGCGCGGGGTGTACTTGATGGGCACGCCTTGTTTGAGAAGAGAGTTGAGAGGCCGCAAGAGAGAAAAACATTTGTGGCACGCAGTTCGCTGATTGGCCAACGCCCCCTGCGGCGGAATTTAAAAAACAGCAAAAAAATTGCAGGAACCAAAATCGGTTTTCGAAGTAGAGAACACGTCAGAATATTCCACAAGAGCGTCGTCCAAACGATCAATAGCCTCCGGTGTCCATCCCGGATTGTGTAGATCGAAAGCGATGTCGTGCATATGTGCGGGCAGCCTAGCCCACAAGCGCATGAAGC